GCTCCTGACTTCAGGGAGTTCACATCGATAACAGAGAAATAAATGTTAATTAAAGAATATCATTAAAAAATGGGATGGCTGAGAAAGAAGAGTGATCTGTGGTGCTATGAAGAGAGGTCAGGAAAGCTCCTTTGGGCAAGGGTTGATTCAGAGGGGGTGTGAAGGGAGAGTAGGAGAGGCTCTGTGGGGAGGACACGGGGGCCTTCCTGCAGCACAGCCAGCCTACGCACAGGGGCCATGCAGGCCGCAAGCCGAAAGGTGGCCAGTGCGGTCTGAACACANCTGCCCATTCAAGCTTTTGGAAAGAATGGGTTCCATAAGGTCATTTATTTCTTGCACAGAATGAATAACTTCTTTCACTGATCTGAACTTGGTCCCCTTACTCTTTAAGAGATTCTTTTTTTTATAATGAGAGATTGTTACAGGAAGTATGCTCATCACTCACAATGAATTGCCAAGTGGTGGATTTGGGACAGTTTCTAGAGAAATGTGGTAGTGTATTGAGGCTTGCATATCAATCGCATTCATTAGTGTATGCTGGCATGCATATGAATCAAATTCTTATAGAATGAGGAAGGGAAACTTCAGAACCTGTATGTAATCCTCTTTGAGAGTCCCCTCTTCTGAATTGTGTGTATCCATCATACTTTAATCAGTAAACCACATAATGTCATTAAGGTAGAGATTTTATAACATTTTCTACTCCTCTTACTACCTTGTTAGCCTGNCCTGTTACCTAGCTATTAAAATACCATTACTGAGCAACACAAAGGCCTTTTATAAAATTAATAACTGGTGTTTAACATAGAGCAATTTCATCTGCTTAACCATTTACCTATATGGAGGGAAGCAGGTTTAGATAACAGAGAACATGCAAATCCCAATTAAAAGGGAGGTGCTATTTTAGAAAAAGAAAACTCAATTGAGACCAAAATTGTGGAACTAGTGATCGAATTTTTAATTATCCTTTTAAAACTACTTATTAAACATACCCTGTGCCAGGCATCATAAAGATGATGATGGTGAATAAAGAAGAAGAAAAAACAAGACATAGCTCCTGACTTCAGGGAGTTCACATCGATAACAGAGAAATAAATGTTAATTAAAGAATATCATTAAAAAATGGGATGGCTGAGAAAGAAGAGTGATCTGTGGTGCTATGAAGAGAGGTCAGGAAAGCTCCTTTGGGCAAGGGTTGATTCAGAGGGGGTGTGAAGGGAGAGTAGGAGAGGCTCTGTGGGGAGGA